GTCAGTGTCAGTGTCAGTGTCAGTTTCAGTGTTACTGTTACTGTTCCTGTCAGTGTCAGTGTCAGTGTTACTGTTACTGTTCCTGTGATTGTCAGTGTTAGTTACTGTTCCTGTCAGTGTCAGTGTTATTGTTTCTGTTATTGTTAGTGTCTGTGTTACTGTTCCTGTCAGTGTCAGTGTCAGTGTTACTGTTTCTGTTATTGTTAGTGTCTGTGTTACTGTTACTGTTACTGTTACTGTCAGTGTCAGTGTCAGTGTTACTGTTTCTGTTATTGTTACTGTCTGTGTTACTGTCTCTGTTACTGTCTGTGTTACTGTCACTGTTACTGTCAGTCAGTGTCAGTGTCAGTGTCAGTGTTACTGTTTCTGTTATGTTTACTGTCTGTGTTACTCTTACTGTTCCTGTCAGTGTTACTGTTACTGTTACTGTCAGTGTTACTGTTTCTGTTATTGTTACTGTCTGTGTTACTGTTACTGTTACTGTTCCTGTTACTGTCAGTGTTACTGTTTCTGTTATTGTTACTGTTACTGTTCCTGTCAGTGTTACTCTCACTGTTCCTGTCAGTCAGTGTCAGTGTTACTGTTTCTGTTATGTTTGCTGTCTGTGTTACTCTTACTGTTCCTGTCAGTGTCAGTGTTACTGTTTCTGTTATTGTTACTGTCTGTGTTACTGTTACTGTTCCTGTCAGTGTTAGTGTTACCATTATTATTACCATTACTGTTACTGTTCCTGTCAGTGTTACTGTTACTGTTCCTGTCACTGCAATTGCAGGCTTCAGTTGTACATACTGTTCGGTTCGTGTCAATGTGTCAGTGTTCAGGTTTTGTTTTCGATGCCAAACATAATGCCACTGTTCTAACTACCTGCTGCTGTTGTTGTTGCTCATGTAGTGACGTTACACAGACAATGTTGTGTTAGCATTAGCGTTAGCTCTGTTGTTAGCGCTGTGTGTCAGTGTTTGTACCTTTCCAAACCTCTGCTGCTGCAGATAGAGCATCCCCTGTTTCCTGATGTCCTCCTCCATGATGACACTGCAGGTGCTCCTCCTTTCCTCCCCCTTTCCTCACCCTTTCTTTCTCTTCTCCTCTTTCTGCTCCACTTTCTCTATGTCTTCCTCCTCCTCCTCCTCCGGTGTGTCCTCCTTTCCTCCCTTCTCTTGCCTCCTCTCTTCCCTCACCTCCTCCCCTCACCCTCCTCTCTGACTTTCTGCTTCCTCTTCTGTTTAAAGTCTCTCGTCTCCTCTTCTTGTGGTCCACTTTCTTCTTTTTTACTACTTTTCTTCTTTCCTCCTCTTCCTCACCGCTCACGTTGGCCTTGCTCCTCTTCACCTCCTTTCTTTTTCCTCTGTGTTGTCTTTAAGTTTTCTCGTTTCGTAATCTTTTCCTGTTTCTCCTCTCCTGTTCTTGTTTCACCTCCTTTTGTTCTGTCTTATTTTTCTTCTTTTACTTTAGTTCCCTCGTTGGACTCTTTGCAGTTTGGAGAGTTTCACCCTCTCCTGTCCTCCCGCTGTGGCTCGCCTCCTCTCTTCTGTCCTCCCTCTCGCTCCCTCTCTCTCTGTCTGTGGTGTCAGTGTGATGTAGAGAAACGTTGAATGTGTCATTTCTGTTTCCTGCCTCACACTCTGTTGCAACATGTAATGCAGAACTAACCGGCCGTGTGAACGTCAACCTCCTCCTCCCAGTATGGCTGCTCCCGTCATGTCACACTACCACACTTTTATTCAAATGAATCTTCCTTTCTGCTTTGTTGTTACTTTATCTTCTGTTTTTATTGTTCAACCGTGTTTCCTCTCACCACCTGTTCCTTTATTTAACTGATAGAAGTCTCATAAAAACATCACTTGGTGTCATGCTGCCCTCTGGTGGCCATGTTGGAGGTTCTCGGCTGATTGTGTTCATTAACATTCGGTCTGTTTTTGACTAAAAACCAGAAGTATTCACACACATACCATCAACCACACAGTACAAATACACCATGACAATACAAGCAATGGTGGAAGAAGTTTTTAAACCCACACTATCAAAATATTAAGCATATTTGATATGCCCTGAATTCAAAATCCTGCTTAATCCCAAATAAAAGTACTAAAGTATTATCATTATTAAAGCTCCAGTCTGTAACATCACTGTAATATAATATCCATACGTATGTTTTCATTAGTTTTCATCCTCACAGTAACTGTAAGAGTCCATCAGTTCACACTGTTAGTGAGGCAGAATGCACTGTGAGGACCCGGATGGTTCATAACACTCAAAACATTCATTTTTTACTAATATGTGCCGCTGCCATGACACTGAATGTAAGTAAATAGTAAGTAAGTAAAT